CCACATCTACAACTCTTTCGTACCGTTATTCACTCTCTGACTCGCAATCCAATACTTCCAACGCATCCCATATTTCCATCGAATCCCATATATCCAATACTTTCAATACACAACGGAATAAACACTCAAGTGACCCCGACTGACACAGTTCAAGAGGTCACGAGAGTTCACAAAATGGCGACGTCCATACACACTAGCAGGGTATACGTTCTCTGCAAAAACATTACATTTCTCACTCTCTCCAGACGGTTCTTACCCTGGACTAACGATTAACCAAGATAATCAAGGTATTTACATCTGAATAATAACCATATTGAACACTGGAAAACATGTGTTTGACAACTCCAAGATATTTACAACATTTAAACTACTGTCACACTGGTAACACTACAGTCAGTGACTATTATTGAACAATTCAGGGAAATATCATACTTCATGACAAACAATCCAGTAAAATACCACATTTTTACAATAACTTCGAAATGGTTAAGATCCCCACCCCAAAACTATATATACAATTGTTGGGCATAAAGAGACGAATACAGTCATGATATTAAAATTTATCCTGGGGTCTGGCCACAACCCTAGATTGAGATCCCCACCCCATAACCATACATAAAATTGCTGGGCATGAAAAGTCTAATACAGATATGCTACAAGGATTGGCCTTGGGGTCTGGCATATTCCCTTGGATCTTATTTGGATCTTATTTTGCCATGATTGCTTAGATATCCAGGTGATTGATACAGGCCCTCTGGGCCTCTTGTTTTTATGTAGAAATAAAAAAAAAAATAGAAAATGAAGGCAGTCTATGTGTACCATGCATAATTGTACTGAAGCTGTAGTGTAACTTTTTCACAGGGAGACATGGAAAACGCATCACTAGCTATAGATCTGTTGATGGAGGAACACATTGCTGAGAGTGCACTAGAACCCTCTACACACAGGTTTGTCTCTCTCGGAAAGAAGATTGTGGAACAGGGACTAGGAATCCCAACCAAGAGGTAACTCTACAGAACAATAAACTGTCACTTGTGTTGATCTACCACAGGTTTCCATGGTCAGAATTTCCAATTCTCCACGGAACTTTCATAGTTTTGGCAAAACCTCTGACCTACAACTATGTCTGTCTGTCTGTCTGTCTGTCTGTCTGTCTGTCTGTCTGTCCGTCAGTCCGTCCACAAATTTTGTTCCTGGCTGATATCTTTAATATTTATTGACTGATGTACATGAAACTTGGTCAAGATGTTCAGTTCATAAAAATACACATTGAGGCAAAAAGTCAAGGTCAAAGGTCAAGGTCATTAGGTTCAAAGGTCAAGGTCAAATTTTATATTTTTTCACTGATGAACATGATGAAGCAAAGTTAATCAGAATTAAACAATGAGTCAACTGACCAAAGGTCAAGGTCATTGGGTAAAAGGTCAATGTTAAATTTTGTAACTTTTCACTGGTGAACATTTCGCTATGACACTTTGAAGCAATGTTGTTCAGAATTAAACAAGGAGTCAATTGACCAAAGGTCAAGGTCATTGGGTAAAAAGTCAATGTTAAATTTTGTGACTTTTCACTGGTGAACATTTCGCTATGACACTTTGAAGCAATGCTGTTCAGAATTAAACAAGGAGTCAATTGACCAAAGGTCAATGTCATTGGGTAAAAAGTCAATGTTAAATTTTGTGACTTTTCACTTGTGAACATTTCGCTATGACACTTTGAAGCAATGCTGTTCAGAATTAAACAAGGAGTCAATTGACCAAAGGTCAATGTCATTGGGTAAAAAGTCAATGTTAAATTTTGTGACTTTTCACTGATGAACATTTTGTTATGACATTATGAAGCAATGTTGTTCAGAATTAAACAATGAGTCAACTGACCAAAGGTCAAGGTCATTGGGTAAAAAGTGAATGTTAAATTTTGTGACTTTTCACTGATGAACATTTTGTTATGACATGATGAAGCAAAGTTTATCAGAATTAAACAATGAGTCAATTGACCAAAGGTCAAGGGCATTGGGTAAAAAGTCAATGTTAAATTTTGTGACTTTTCACTGGTGAACATTTGGCTATGACACTTTGAAGCAATGCTGTTCAGAATTAAACAAGGAGTCAATTGACCAAAGGTCAAGGGCATTGGGTAAAAAGTCAATGTTAAATTTTGTGACTTTTCACTTGTGAACATTTCGCTATGACATTGTGGAGCAAAGTTGTTCGGAATTAAACAAGGAGTCAATTGACCAAAGGTCAAGGTCATTGGGTCAAAGGTCAATGTTACATTTTGTAACTTTTCACTGGTGAACATTTGGCTATGACACTTTGAAGCAATGTTGTTCAGAACTTAACACAGAGTCAACTGAACTTAGTTCAAGGTTACTGGGTCCAAAGGGTCAAGGTCAAGTTTTGTATTTTTTGCTGATGAGCATTTTGTTATGATATTAAGAAGCAAAGTTGGTCAGAATTAAAGAATAAGTCAACTGACCAAAGATCAGGGTCACTGGGTTAATGGTCAAGGTCATTCGGGTCCAAAGGTCAAAGACAAAGTGGATCTCTGACTTTGATCCTGGCTCTTGATGGAGAAGGTATATAAGGTGAAATAAAACAAATCAAAGCTAACAAATGAGTATTGCACCGGTAATTACATTTCTGTTAGCCCAGCAAATATGGAGGTGGAAGGAAACACATCACATCATAGTACATGTAAAATGTATATTTGCTTCCTTGCGATTCTTTTTGAAGTCCAAATGTCAAACGTCAAGCTCAGCTATATGGGCAGATTGCTTCTTGATGATTATGGGGGATATAATTGCCACAAGACGAGGCCCTTACTGACCTGTCAGTGTTCTAGTTATGACATCACTATAAGTTAGTTTAACTAATGAATTCGTGAAGATGTGGATTAGGTCAGGTGAAAGCATGATGTCAATAATCCTTCTTTCTTTGGAGGGAAATGTTATTAATGTGATTTTGCATTTAACCGATCACCATCTTGGAATTCTAGGAGCTACACCAAACTGCTAAGCCTTTGATTTTGTATTATCTGCCATTTGATGCCCCTAAGAGCCTTTGATTTTGTATTATCTGCCATGTGATGCCCCTAAGAGCCTTTGATTTTGTCATGACATATTCCAGTGGTGTAGACAAGTTCTATATATCAAGAGCGGAACGTTTGTATTTTAAAGATGTTGTGACTTGTTGTAAAATATCTACTCTCAGTATACAGTATATGTGATCTCTGTGTGTAACTGTTGTGTACAGAAATGAGGAAAAGGCAATCCCTCAGAAGTTCTTGGAGCCGACTGAAATTCTGCTGTATGAGGAGCCCCGAGATGTGTCTTGTGTGTATTACTTTCCTGCTGAAGTACCTACCTACTCGTCCTTCAAAGCTATACCAACCTATGTAGACCTGAAAGCAGTTATCTACGTACAGGATACCAAAAATGGTAGGTGTCTCTCTCCCAAAATATATAAATAGCCAACAGCACTCGAAACAAAATCTTCAAATAATAGGCATCGCTCGCAACAAAAATTGTAAAATAAGTAGGCATCACTTTTCCAAAATATTGAAATGGTATTTGTCACTTCAAAATCTTTGTGAATATGGTGTGAGAAAAACCCATGTTCCAAAATAACTTTATATTTTGGTAAAACAACATGCAGCAGTTCATATGGTAATACAACATGGGGATTTAATCACAATACAGGAGTTACTATGGTAATACAACAATGATTTAAACACTACAGCAGTTACCATGGTAATACAACATGGGAATTTAATCACAATACAGGAGTTACTATGGTAATACAACAGGGATTAATCACAATTATGGTAATACAACAGGAATTTAATCACAATACAGGAGTTACTACGGTAATACAACAGGGATTTAATCACAATCCAGCAGTTACTATGGTAATACAACATGGATTTAAACACTACAGCAGTTACCATGGTAATACAACATGGGAAGTTAATCACAATACAGGAGTTACTATAGTAATACAACAGGGATTTAATCACAATACAACAGTTACTAATGTAATACAACATAGGGATTTAATCACAATACAGGAGATACTATGGTAATACAACAGGGACTTTAATCACAATACAGGAGTTACCATGCTAATACAACATAGGGATTTAATCACAATCCAGGAGTTACTATGGTAATACAACAGTTATTTTAATCACAATACAACAGTTACTATTGTAATACAACATAGGGATTTAATCAACCATGGTAAGACAACATGGGAATTTAATCACAATACAGGAGTTACTATGGCAATACAACAATGATTTAAACACTACAGCAGTTAGCATGGTAATACAACATGGGGATTTAATCACAATACAGGAGTTGCCATGGTAATACAACATAGGGATTTAATCAACCATGGTAAGACAACATGGGAATTTAATCACAATACAGGAGTTACTGTTGTAATACAACATAGGGATTTAATCAACCATGGTAAGACAACATGGGAATTTAATCACAATACAGGAGTTACTGTTGTAATACAACATAGGGATTTAATCACAATACAGCAGGTACTATGGTAATACAACAGGGATTTAGTCACAATACAACAGTTACTATTGTAATACAACATAGGGATTTAATCACAATCCAGGAGTTACTATGGTAATACAACAGTTATTTTAATCACAATACAACAGTTACTATGGTAATACAACATAGGGATTTAAACACAATCCAGGAGTTACTATGGTAATACAACAGTTATTTTAATCACAATACAACAGTTACTAATGTAATACAACATAGGGATTTAATCACAATCCAGGAGTTACTATGGTAATACAACATAGGGATTTAAACACAATCCAGGAGTTACTATGGTAATACAACAGGGTTTTAATCACAATACAGCAGTTACTATGGTAATACAACAGGGAGTAATACAACATGGGGATTTAATCACAACACAGGAGTTGCCATGGTAATACAACATAGGGATTTAAACACAATCCAGGAGTTACTATGGTAATACAACAGTTATTTTAATCACAATACAACAGTTACTAATGTAATACAACATAGGGATTTAATCACAATACAGCAGTTAATAGGGTAATACAGCATAGGGATTTAATCACAATACAGCAGTTAATATGGTAATACAGCATAGGGATTTAATCACAATACAGCAGTTAATATGGTAATACAGCATAGGGATTTAATCACAATACAGCAGGTACTATGGTAATACAACAGGGATTTAGTCACAATACAACAGTTACTATTGTAATACAACATAGGGATTTAATCAACCATGGTAAGACAACATGGGAATTTAATCACAATACAGGAGATACTATGGTAATACAACAGGGACTTTAATCACAATACAGGAGTTACCATGCTAATACAACATAGGGATTTAATCACAATCCAGGAGTTACTATGGTAATACAACAATGATTTAAACACTACAGCAGTTACCATGGTAATACAACATCGGGATTTAATCACAATACAGGAGTTGCCATGGTAATACAACATAGGGATTTAATCACAATACAGGATTTACTATGGCAATACAACAGGGATTTAATCACAATACAGGAGTTGCCATGGTAATACAACATAGGGATTTAATCAACCATGGTAAGACAACATGGGAATTTAATCACAATACAGGAGTTACTATAGTAATACAACAGGGATTTAATCACAATCCAGCAGTTACTATGGTAATACAACAAAACACTACAGCAGTTACCATGGTAATACAACATGGGGACTTAATCACAATACAGGAGTTACCATGGCAATACAACATAGGGATTTAATCACAATCCAGGAGTTACTATGGTAATACAACAGTTATTTTAATCACAATACAACAGTTACTATGGTAATACAACATAGGGATTTAAACACAATCCAGGAGTTACTATGGTAATACAACAGTTATTTTAATCACAATACAACAGTTACTATTGTAATACAACATAGGGATTTAATCACAATCCAGGAGTTACTATGGTAATACAACAATGATTTAAACACTACAGCAGTTAGCATGGTAATACAACATGGGGATTTAATCACAACACAGGAGTTGCCATGGTAATACAACATAGGGATTTAAACACAATCCAGGAGTTACTATGGTAATACAACAATGATTTAAACACTACAGCAGTTACCATGGTAATACAACATCGGGATTTAATCACAATACAGGAGTTATTATGGTAATACAACATAGGGATTTAAACACAATCCAGGAGTTACTATGGTAATACAACAGTTATTTTAATCACAATACAACAGTTACTAATGTAATACAACATAGGGATTTAATCACAATACAGGAGATACTATGGTAATACAACAGGGACTTTAATCACAATACAGGAGTTACCATGCTAATACAACATAGGGATTTAATCACAATACAGCAGTTACTATGGTAATACAACATGGGGATTAATCACAATACAGGAGTTACTATAGTAATACAACAGGGATTTAATCACAATCCAGCAGTTACTATGGTAATACAACAGGGATTTAGTCACAATACAACAGTTACTATTGTAATACAACATAGGGATTTAATCACAATCCAGGAGTTACTATGGTAATACAACATGGGGATTAATCACAATACAGGAGTTATTATGGTAATACAACATAGGGATTTAAACACAATCCAGGAGTTACTATGGTAATACAACATAGGGATTTAAACACAATCCAGGAGTTACTATGGTAATACAACAGGTATTTAATCACAATACAGCAGTTACTATGGTAATACAACAAAACACTACAGCAGTTACCATGGTAATACAACATGGGAATTTAATCACAATACAGGAGTTACTGTTGTAATACAACATAGGGATTTAATCACAATCCAGGAGTTACTATGGTAATACAACAATGATTTAAACACTACAGCAGTTACCATGGTAATACAACATGGATTTAAACACTACAGCAGTTACCATGGTAATACAACATGGATTTAAACACTACAGCAGTTACCATGGTAATACAACATGGATTTAAACACTACAGCAGTTACCATGGTAATACAACATCGGGATTTAATCACAATACAGGAGTTGCCATGGTAATACAACATAGGGATTTAATCACAATCCAGGAGTTACTATGGTAATACAACATAGGGATTTAAACACAATCCAGGAGTTACTATGGTAATACAACAGTTATTTTAATCACAATACAACAGTTACTATTGTAATACAACATAGGGATTTAATCACAATATAGGAGTTACTATGGTAATACAACATAGGGATTTAATCAACCATGGTAAGACAACATGGGAATTTAATCACAATACAGGAGATACTATGGTAATACAACAGGGACTTTAATCACAATACAGGAGTTACCATGGCAATACAACATAGGGATTTAATCACAATCCAGGAGTTACTATGGTAATACAACAGGGATTTAATCACAATAGAGCAGTTAATATGGTAATACAACAGGGATTAATCACAATACAGGAGTTACTATGGTAATACAACATAGGGATTTAATCACAATATAGGAGTTACTATGGTAATACAACATAGGGATTTAATCACAATACAGGAGTTACCATGGTAATACAACATAGGGATTTAATCACAATATAGGAGTTACTATGGTAATACAACAGGGATTTAATACAGGAGTTACTATGGTAATACAACATAGGGATTTAATCACAATACAGCAGTTACTATGGTAATACAACAGGGATTTAATCACAATACAGGAGTTACTATGGTAATACAACAGGGATTTAATCACAATACAGCAGTTACCATGGTAATACAACAAACAAAGGTATGTTATCACAGTACTGCAGTTATCTGAGCAAAATTTACTTCATGGGTCAATTTATAATCACAAATTTTTGGAAAAGTTTGATTTCTCAAAAATAACCATTATCTATTTGGTAGCACTGAAGTAATGGAAATGTTGGGAGCCTAACATATTTTGTTTTTGTAGAACAAGCATTGGCGAAACTTTCAGAGCGTCTGAATAATAAGTTTGGTAACAGTAAACCCCATGGCTTTGACATAGACTGGAAGGTGGGGCAGGCAGGCGCTGCAAAGTTCCACCTGGACCAGTTGTGGTATCGTGTTCAGGTGGTGCACATAGAGGCAGATCTCATAAAGGTATAAACTTATCGCCGCCTTACCATTCTGATTCCTTCATCAGCAGAATTACTACCAGTTCATTAACACTTGAAACAGACCCATTATTCAATATTACTTGATACTTATGAACTTTGTACACATCATTATGTTGGTGATTTATTTTGAATTTCCCACAGAGTTTGTCCCTTTTCTGATGTTGTCCGTTTATGAATTTTGTCCAAACACTTACTTCCCTTCTTGACAAATATTTACAAAACCTCATTCATAAACATGATCAAAACCCAGATTAGTTGTGTGCTTGTGATATATTTTGATCTGATTACCATTTATAAATTTTGTTGAAATGAAACCCAGAACTATCCTTTAATGAAAATTGATGAAATAGATTTTCTTCAGAAACCACATGTGATATACAACATTTAAGTTAAAATGCAGCAAGTTACATCCAAATATGACTGGAAACAACCTCAAATTATTTGATACCTGTTCCATGAAATCATGTTGGAGTCATTGAAACTGTTTTCTAGAATCGTTTAATAATTGATCATTGTTAACAATTTCTTTGTTAGGTCAATTTTATAGATTTTGGAAATACAGAAATGATTTCACCTGACGTACTACGAGCAGATGTTGCCGAGTTTACAGATATTCCACAGCTTTGTTATGAGTGTGTCCTCAACAACATTGCACCGGTAAGTAACTTTACTAGTAAATACCAGAAACTGACTGGCTACAAGCTACAACCTGGCTATATCTAAAGACTGACCTTTAGCTCAGTGACCACCTGGCTGTATCTACTGACTGGCCTATACCTAAGTGACCCCCTGACTATATCTACTGACTGGCCTGGCCTATACCTAAGTGACCACCTGACTATATCTACTGACTGGCCTTTACTTAAGTGACCACCTGACTATATCTACTGACTGGCCTATAACTAAGTGACCCCCTGGCTGTATCTACTGACTGGCGTATACCTAAGTGACCACTTGGCTATATCTACTGACTGGCCCATACCTAAGTGACCACCTGACTATATCTACTGACTGGCCTATACCTAAGTGACCACCTGATTATATCTATTGACTAGCCTATACCTAAGTGACCACCTGACTATATCTAAAGACTGACCTTTAGCTCAGTGACCGCCTGGCTGTATCTACTGACTGGCCTATACCTAAGTGACCACCTGACTATATCTACTGACTGGCCTATACCTAAGTGACCACCTGACTATATCTACTGACTGGCCTATACCTAAGTGACCACCTGACTATATCTACTGACTGGCCTATACCTAAGTGACCACCTGACTATATCTACTGACTGGCCTATACCTAAGTGACCACCTGACTATATCTACTGACTGGCCTATACCTAAGTGACCACCTGACTATATCTACTGACTGGCCTATACCTAAGTGACCACCTGACTATATCTACTGACTGGCCTATACCTAAGTGACCACCTGACTATATCTACTGACTGGCCTATACCTAAGTGACCACCTGACTATATCTACTGACTGGCCTATACCTAAGTGACCACCTGACTATATCTACTGACTGGCCTATACCTAAGTGACCACCTGACTATATCTACTGACTGGCCTATACCTAAGTGACCACCTGACTATATCTACTGACTGGCCTATACCTAAGTGACCACCTGACTATATCTACTGACTGGCCTATACCTAAGTGACCACCTGACTATATCTACTGACTGGCCTATACCTAAGTGACCACCTGACTATATCTACTGACTGGCCTATACCTAAGTGACCACCTGACTATATCTACTGACTGGCCTATACCTAAGTGACCACCTGACTATATCTACTGACTGGCCTATACCTAAGTGACCACCTGACTATATCTACTGACTGGCCTATACCTAAGTGACCACCTGACTATATCTACTGACTGGCCTATACCTAAGTGACCACCTGACTATATCTACTGACTGGCCTATACCTAAGTGACCACCTGACTATATCTACTGACTGGCCTATACCTAAGTGACCACCTGACTATATCTACTGACTGGCCTATACCTAAGTGACCACCTGACTATATCTACTGACTGGCCTATACCTAAGTGACCACCTGACTATATCTACTGACTGGCCTATACCTAAGTGACCACCTGACTATATCTACTGACTGGCCTATACCTAAGTGACCACCTGACTATATCTACTGACTGGCCTATACCTAAGTGACCACCTGACTATATCTACTGACTGGCCTATACCTAAGTGACCACCTGACTATATCTACTGACTGGCCTATACCTAAGTGACCACCTGACTATATCTACTGACTGGCCTATACCTAAGTGACCACCTGACTATATCTACTGACTGGCCTATACCTAAGTGACCACCTGACTATATCTACTGACTGGCCTATACCTAAGTGACCACCTGACTATATCTACTGACTGGCCTATAACTAAGTGACCACCTGGCTATATCTACTGACTGGCCTATAACTAAGTGACCACCTGGCTGTATCTACTGACTGGCCTATAACTAAGTGACCACCTGACTATATCTACTGACTGGCCTATAACTAAGTGACCACCTGGCTATATCTACTGACTGGCCTATAACTAAGTGACCACCTGGCTATATCTACTGACTGGCCTATAACTAAGTGACCACCTGACTATATCTACTGACTGGCCTATACCTAAGTGACCACCTGACTATATCTACTGACTGGCCTATACCTAAGTGACCACCTGACTATATCTACTGACTGGCCTATACCTAAGTGACCACCTGACTATATCTACTGACTGGCCTATACCTAAGTGACCACCTGACTATATCTACTGACTGGCCTATACCTAAGTGACCACCTGACTATATCTACTGACTGGCCTATACCTAAGTGACCACCTGACTATATCTACTGACTGGCCTATACCTAAGTGACCACCTGACTATATCTATGACTTGCCTATACCTAAGTGACCACCTGACTATATCTACTGACTGGCCTGGCCTATACCTAAGTGACCACCTGACTATATCTATGACTGGCCTATACCTAAGTGACCACCTGACTATATCTACTGACTGGCCCATACCTAAGTGACCACCTGGCTATATCGAATGACTAGCCTATACCTTAGTGACCACCTGGCTATATCTACTGACTGGCCTATACCTAAGTGACCACCTACTATATCGAATGACTAGCCTATACCTAAGTGACCACCTGACTATATCTACTGACTGGCCTATACCTAAGTGACCGCCTGGCTATATCTACTGACTGGCCTATAACTAAGTGACCACCTGGCTATATTTACTGACTGGCCTATAACTAAGTGACCACCTGGCTGTATCTACAGACTGGCCTATAACTAAGTGACCACCTGACTAAATCTATGACTGGCCTATAACTATACCTAAGTGACCACCTGCCTATATCTACTGACTGGCCTATACCTAAGTGACCACCTGGCTGTATCTACTGACTGGCCTATAACTAAGTGACCACCTGACTAAATCTATGACTGGCCTATAACTAAGTGACCACCTGGCTATATCTACTGACTGGCCTATACCTAAGTGACCACCTGAGTGACCACCTGACTCTATCTACTAACTGTCATATAGTTATGCTAACACCTGTCTCAAACACCAACTGAAAATAATGTTTGTGCAGAAAATGATTGATATTGATTAAATGCATGTAAATAAACATGCTTAAAACCATTGCTTGATATGCAGTGGGTAATGTCTAATGTTTCAGTTCAGTAACAATTCTTTTGCAGTTCTATGATGGGAAACAGGTAATTTTGGTATATATATGTTTTTCAGTTGACAGAGGATGGCACATGGACGGTACCTGTTTTAGACCAGATTCACAAGTTACTTGTCTCCAAACCCTGCTCTGTAGAGATACTGGTAAATATTCTGTTTAGGAATAAGTTTAAGAAATTGTAGAGATGTAAGTCTATGAAGGAATTAGAATTATTGATTTGTCACACAAAATCATAAGATATATATCTGTATTACGGAAGATTAAAATTTTCATTGTCACTTACTGAGACTAAATTTTAACTTTTAACAAAATATTGAGAGATACTGTACTATAACCTTAGGAAAGTGTAAGTGAAGTATTGGAGATAATGTACTGTACAAGATAGGAAAGTGTTAGTGAAGTATTGGAGATAATGTACTGTAGAAGATAGGTAAGTGTAAGTGAAGTATTGGAGATAATGTACTGTACTAGATAGGTATGTGTAACTGATGTATTGGAGATAATATACTGTAGAAGATAGGTATGTGTAACTGATGTATTGGATATAATGTACTGTAGAAGATAGGAAAGTGTAAGTGAAGTATTGGAGATAATGTACTGTACTAGATAGGTATGTGTAACTGATGTATTGGATATAATGTACTGTACAAGATAGGTATGTGTAACTGAAGTATTGGAGACAATGTACTGTAGAAGATAGGTATGTGTAACTGATGTATTGGATATAATGTACTGTAGAAGATAGGAAAGTGTAAGTGAAGTATTGGAGATAATGTACTGTAGAAGATAGGAAAGTGTAACTGAAGTATTGGAGATAATGTACTGTACTAGATAGGTAAGTGTAAGTGAAGTATTGGAGATAATGTACTGTACAAGATAGGTATGTGTAACTGAAGTATTGGAGATAATGTACTGTACAAGATAGTAAAGTGTAACTGAAGTATTGGAGATAATGTACTGTAGAAGATAGGAACGTGTAAGTGAAGCATTGGAGATAATGTACTGTAGAAGATAGGAAAGAAGTGTAACTGAAGAATTGGAGATAATGTACTGTAGAAGATAGGAAAGTGTAACTGAAGTATTGGAGATAATGTACTGTAGAAGATAGGAAAGAAGTGTAACTGAAGTATTGGAGATAATGTACTGTACAAGATAGTAAAGTGTAACTGAAGTATTGGAGATAATGTACTGTACAAGATAGGTAAGTGTAACTGATGTATTGGAGATAATGTACTGTAGGAGATTGAAAAAATTGATGCTGTCACTGTTTAGATACTGTAACTAACAGATTATTGAGATAATGATCAAAACTTACGGAAAAACTTACAGAAACTGTGGAGAAAATGTTGATTTGAGATTTTTATTTTTTTTACTTACAGAAGATTGATGCTAATTTGCAGTTAATTGTTAAAATAAGCATGGATGGAGAAAACGATCTTGGAGATGCCCTCTGTTATAGTGGTGTTGCCTTCCACCCAGACAAGACCAGTGAACTTGTATCTCAGAGTCATAAAATAGCCAAGGTTGTAGAGGTATGTAGTCATAAAATAGCCAAGGCTGTAGAGGTATGTAGTTATAAAATAGCCA